CCGTTTTTGCATTTTGCAATCCTTGTAGGGCTTTCCTTACTTCCCGTACGTGTCCTTACCTCTAGGATGTCGAATTCCTCCAGGCTATTATTGCTTCTTACGATATCATCCTGGTTCTTTCGGATTCTGTACAGCTTTCTGCAGAACTCCTCCACCACCTCAACTACCATTTCCATATTAATTATGGCATTGTTTTTCTTGTGCCTAATGCATGCATTCCATTTTGCCTATGCAAAGGTTAGCCTTCGCAGCTGTTAGGCTTCTGCCGTTTTTTACAGCCTGCTCTCTTCTCTACATGTTACACCTTCTGGTGTCGGCTACCTTGCGTTTATTGATTAACTTCGCAAGCTTCACTAACTCGGTATTGTCGGTTACATTTGAGGCTTTCATGGTTTGTCATCTCTTAATGAGGTTGTTTGTCTCCTCAGATAGTTTACCAGTGTTTTGTATAGTGACCGTACCTCCGACTTCCATTGCGCACTCTTTGATGATACTAGTAAGATTATTGTTCATTGTGTCAACGCTAACATTGGTTATCTCGTTTAGAGCCTCGAATCTATTCTGAGGCAAAACTCTGAATTCCTGTACTTTCCCTCTCACCGCTTTTTTGCTTTTGTTTATGCTTTTGTCTTTTTAAATCTAGGCGAATAGGAGCGCTTACTATTCATGGTTACTGCATCAGATCTCGCCAACTACTTCTACATCCTGTACAATGCCTGGGTGTGCACACAGAATGAAGTCTATTTCATCTCTAGTTTCGCCATTAGAACTTCCTTGTGTCCATTTACGGTTAGCCTGTTTTCTGAAAAGGGTATTCAAGATGCGTAAATTATCACGTTTTGTGAACTCCACTAATAACTCCCCTCAGGAATTTCTAGAGCCGATGTCATATTTAGCAACTGCATGGTCGCCAGCCTGTTTCTTGTCCACTTTGGCGTTAGAGTCGCCCATTAGAGTAGTATACTGTGTCTTTATATGCTTTATTAATGGCTGAATCTACGTCTTCATAAAAGTGTTCAACCCAATTATCATCATGGCTCGATGTTGGCGCGTTGGCCTGTACCACCTTCATATTCTACCTTTTGTTAAACTTACTTATGATACTAGCAACCTTCTCACAGATGCTATAGTATTTCTCTCTATTGCTAGCGATATTCTTGTGTAGAAGAAACCACACCCCTATGCATTTTCTGTCAACAAATCCACGGTTGCATAAAACGTGTTTGTACTTCAGCACTGTATAAACCTCACATGTCCTTCCTAACTTTGCTCAGCCCTACTACATACCATTTCACACCCTCTAATACCTAGAATAGAACAGCTAGACTAGCCTCACTAGATAGCGTTCTAGCGTTGAACGTAGCCAATATCAGACTCCAATGGTGGCCTGTCCGCACCCAGAGATTCTTAGCACCCTCCGCTGCGTCGCAGGTCTCACCGCCACCTTGGACAGTTGACTCGCAGTCGCTGGGCATTTAGGGCGAAGGTTTAATTGCCTTAGTCATTGGAAGTAGTGGCCAAGTACTGCACCAGGGTGGCCCATCCTGCTGTGGTGAGGAAGTGCATTACCACCAGGTGGTCGCCAGTGAAGCCGCTCTCTAGACCTCTTTTTTAAACAATTTCTTTATCACTGGTTTTAAGTAAGTATGCTATTGGGAATAGTCCGTTTTCTGCATTCGAACTGAATTTCGTCATTTCATTCTAGGCTGTGGCGCTATTTCTAAGTAGGGGTCTTTGTTGCACTTTCTTAGCAATGTAAATGCCACCTGACAGCAGGGGTGCATGCAAGATGGCCCGAGCTTATGGGACAGCCGAGTTTGCTCCAAGCTCGCTTGAGGTGGTCATGCCATGAAGACATTGCAGAGCGCTTGATAGCAGCGTTGATCAAAATGGCTACACGAACGCGCGTGGAGTTGGAAACGCATGTGGGACATTTGCGACAGTTCTCAAAGAAAAACTGCGTGCGTGCACGTCAGCGCCGCCACTCACTCAACATTTTAGCAGTGCAGCGATGTCAGCATGATTGTCGTGCTGTATTTTTGCCAGCTCAACATGCGCCTCCCACAGGCATGTTCGTGGGCGCATGTCCTCTTTCACACAGGTTCTTTCGTTCCACCTGTAGCATGACAATTTCGACTCTCGAATGCAGCAAGGGTGCATTCCCTAGATGAAACTTGTTTCATCTAGCGACTAAGGTCCCTAGATGAAACTTGTTTCATCTAGGGAACTTAGTCGGCAATAAAGTCCGTGAAAAAAAGTCGGCAGCGCGACTGTGATTGGATATGACGCGAGAGCGGTGAAATTGAATACGAGACGTATGGAGGTTTGGAATAACGCTCGCAAATGTTGCGGGCATTGCTTTAGTTGCGGGCGCCATATGAGCTTTAGAATAGCGTTGGCTCCCCCTAAGAAAAAGTCTAGGCACTTTCACCACGACCGCAAACCCAAATGCACGAAAGCTACACACAGCGCTTCGTGGGCCTCGCGGACTGCGATCACCGCACGTTATTTCGGATTTTCTGCGGGGGGGGGGGGGGGGGGGCGAGTGCGAACGGTGGCTCGAGTTACGACGCATGCGCAGTGGCAGAGACCGCACCGCAAGGGTTTGCGGTGCGCTTCATTTATGTCGTGCTGTAACTTCATTTGCAGCGATCAATTACTACCTCAAAAAGTAGCTGAGAAATTGCAGAAATGCAATATATTATTTTTGTGTTACTTTTCTTTCATATTTTCTTTCTGCCGTTACAGAACACAAGTTCGCTCAAACTACAACGAACTACCGTGGCTTGCATGGCAGAGAGTATGGAGGCTTGGATGAAGGCTGCGAGGTGGCGTACATTCTTGCCCATTCATTTGTCCATGTTAGTGTTGTTACTGGGGTTTACCTCATGCCTGGCTCTGTTTATGTGTTGGTTGGTTTTTTTGTTGCTGATTATCACATGTGTCGTGCTCATAAGTTTAGTATCTAGCTACGGCAATGCTTTTTAATTACAGTTGTTGGTAGCCTTTCGTGCTGCCTGTCTCACCTTTTCATCCCGTCTATTGCACTTTATTTTTACGAAATTTGCATCACCAGCTGGCCTGAACTACAACTCTTCTAAAGTTCTTAAGTGCTACATTGCTTATCATCAGTGAGGATTAACAACAAATGGCATGAGGGAAACATGGAGATAATATGAAATCATTAGTCCCCTGTTATGCTCTGATGTACAGACGGGTCCACTGTTGAAGGGAAGACCTGCATGAACAGCATGTTTAAATTTCACTATCTTACGGAATCATAGCGGCTTAGATATGCATAAGACTACTGGTGGCTAAAAGTTCCGACTCCTCTTGACAGACTATTGACTTGCATGAAGATTGTTTCCTAATCCACTTGCTCTTAGAGGGCCAGGAATATTGATGATGTGCCTTTGAGTGTTCCCTTTAACAGTGGACCATACTGTACATACAATACTATGAAGGCTTAAAGTACTCTGTGGTCTATTTTATTCTGCACTTCTTTTGAGCTTAAAATAGTAGTAGTACTGTCAGCCACTTTGGCAATGATAAAATTAAGCAAAATCGGGTTACCAAATCTGGTGCTTGTGATAGTAAATGCTGACTTCAGTGTAATTGAGTGCGTGTTTGAAGTATTAGCTTTGCATAAATCGTACGGGGATTGTTCCACGCGTTGTTGTGAAACAAAGTCGTGTTTCAACTATGAATTAAATATTTCTATCACACTGATCATGCTTCCTTGATAATTATTTGACATGAAAGATGTCTTTGATACTTGTTTAGCTTGAAACGTTAGTTACACTTCTGAAGGATTGAAATGCGGCTTCAAAGCTTTTATTAAAGCAGAGACCAGATCATGTAACTAATTGCATGACATGATTTGCGAGGTATAAGTTTTCATTTGTGTTCGTCATGCACTCATTTCATGCCATGGCTGTTTTTGCATGTCATGTTAATGAAAAGACCGCGAAAGTACAAATGTTATGTAATCTAAATCATATCGCACCAGACATTTATGCATTCTTGGAAGAGTATAGCGCTAGGGAACATGGGCTAAAGGAAGGCACATGAACACACAGACGTGTGCCTTCCTTTAGTCCACGTTCACTAGAAACCGCAATATATGCCATGGTTCTCATGTCACAACCTGTAATTTATATTCATCATGCACAAGCCATGTAATACCGATTATGGTAAAATTAAGTTAATGACACAGCCGAGGTCACACCACTAGCGGTTCATTTAAGTCATAGCATACATGACATGTGTGCCAGGATTCTCGTGGTACGAACCCCAATTCATGTTCCTCATATACTCATACTATGCCATACCGATTTTGACATGTATTAGGTTAGCAAAACGATCACCCGGTCACCCGGGCGTGAAGTCGTAGACGAATAGATAGATAGATAGATAGATAGATAGATAGATAGATAGATAGATAGATAGATAGATAGATAGATAGATAGATAGATAGATTGATAGATAGATTTAAGCTGAAAATTGCAAAGTACCTCAGATTTAAATATCGCGTCTGAGTAAGTATGCAGTATGGTATTACATGATGTCGTCTGCGTCACCTGTATAAGGTGATGTCACTCCGAACTATCAAGTAAATGAAAGGCACCTTGGCCGCTAGGGGTAGCAGCATCCACACACCACGTGAAAAGAAATAAAAAATAACAGTCTCATTGCATTTCACAAAGATGCTACTTTGCTGCAGTGTTCTTGCAAGTGAGACTTTCTATTCGTTTTCGTTTGACAGGGCCAGCTCAACTTTGATTATTGTTATAGGTTGTCGCTAGGGGTTGTGAAGACGGCGTTCTGACGCAGGCGCAATTGGTGCAATTGCATGTACATTCAAAAATGGCACTGCAGACTATAGGCGGTTCTTATTGTACCTGCCACAATGCCAGTTCACCTTGAAACCGAGTGTTTGTCTCAAAGCGGGCGAATCTTGTTTCAAGCGATACCCAATGAAGTGGTTTTTGATCCCTACGCTCAAGGAAAATTGCACAATTTATTTCATATCGTATGCAACGCGATAGAATAGTGAATCTGGAAAAATAGTGATGCCATTCGAAACAGTGAGCATAGTTTAATAAATTCCCGATCGCAGCGAATAGCCATCGTTTGGACGGCCGTACGAAGGTCGCATCTTTCCACGTGGGTGGCAGAAACCACAGTCTAGACCGCCGTGGCAAATCCAACACGGTTCTGGGCCCTATCGAACACTGTGTAGTACGTCTGCGTGAAGACGGCGCCCAAGATCCAGAGGTTTGTACCGGATGCGTCCGACTCCGAGATACGAGTGAAGCACTGCTCACCGCCAGTTGTGAGCGGAATCTGGGAAGAATGGCCGAGCGTCAGAACAGGATCAATGACATGGTAGTCTGTCGTTAATGTCTATAGGATTATGTGACTTTAGAGCTTTTCCACTTTTCCGAAAAAAAAAAACACAATATGCTTAAGAAATTGAATTAAACATTGGGCACTAACTCTGATCGTGTAGGCTTCTCCTTGGAGCGGGAAGGACTTGCCGTTCAAATTGAAGGTGATTGGTGGCAAGCTGGAGATGGTGGCGCAGTTTACTTCAAACTGCAAACGTCAGAAACGAAAGAAGCAAAACCATGAAGCTTAGTTTTGAAGGGCACTAAATGTTGTTTTCATTAGTTCATTCACATACACGGCTACAGCTTACAAAAACATACCTGCTCATCGCTCCGGAAAAAATGCATAAAATCTATTGCAGTGAAACTAATAGCTTGGCGAGTTGCTATGTATCCGTATCATAACTTAGTTTAGCGCACACAAAACGCAGGACAAGATAGAGACAGACGAGTGCGCTAAAATAAGTTATATTATAGTTGCATAAAATGCTCCATCCAATTGTACTTACTAATTTTAGCGACGTCAAGCTTTTAGTGGGTGTTTAAAATAGTTGACTTTCCCATTCATACAGATGTTTTTGTCGCTGACTATATGTCGGGAACTAGAACGTCGCGGTAAAGTTTGCCAGGTATTTCAATATAGCTTCTCAACAAACCGTACTATTTTAGGTAATAATAACAGTGAACCTCAAATTCGTAATATGCTTAGTATTTACGTTAGCCTAAAAAGTCGTTCAGGTTCAAGCGGAAATAAGCCGGCACGACACCCCTTCACAGTTAAGGACAGGAAAGGTGAGGATCAGTGAGCGGAGCTCACATTTTTACTAAATTTGTAATAGACTTTACTCGCATTAGATTTAAACACATTTGCGTTCACTGTTTTCAAATTACATCTCCCGCTCACTATTCTTATAGATAACCTTGATCTTAAGGTTGTTATAGTGTAAGGAGCTCCAGAGCGTACTGCCTGGAAATCGGAACTCGAAAACAGCACCTTATGTCCGTAGCATATTTGTACAGGCTAAGTAAAAAAGCTGACTTTTCCTATAAGGAATGAAACAGTGACATGTGTGGCACCATGCTCGACAAAACTAGAAAAAGAAAAAAAACTTTTTTTTTGACGTTGGCTACTTCAAATGAATAAATGTTACTATTAAAAAAAAAAAACAACTTCACAGCCTAGGTCTCTGCTTCATTACGGCAGAGTGTTCTTATTTTTATAATGAAATGAAAAGAGGCAGTGCTGTAACGAACACAAAGGACAAGATGACGACGTGACATTCGCTGTACTCACAACTGAAGGTTTTATTGAAGAGTGTCCCTGATACGCAGCCAGCATCGTCACACAAAATGTCAGAGCCTCATGGAAAGACACAGAATAACATGTGACATGTCACTATGCTATACACATGTGACGAAGGTAGTCATATTATTTAAGTGAGAGGGTTACAGAGGCCTGGCTGACGCATTTGCCTTTTAATATGAAGGTGTCAAACGCTTCTGTTAGTTTTTTTTGTTGTTTTATCATGATGTCGGGAGAGAATAGCGTGTATATATAGCAAAGTGACCTATCACATGTAGTTTTTATTGGTGCGTGTCTTTCTAAGCGACTGTGTACGCTCTAGTATCTCGATCTTGTCCGCTTCACGCTTTGTGTGACATTTTTGTGTGACAATGCTGGCTGTATGTAAGGAATGATTTTCTATAAACATTGAGTACAACGCATGTCCTGTCGTCAGCTCGTATTTTGTATTCGTTCCAGCGCCGCCCCTTTTTCGTTCATTGTGAGCCCAAACCAACTCGGTTCACCTTTCTGTGATTTTGTCCTTATTTTTTCCCACCATTTTTTTCTTGTCCTACCTCTCTGGTTTTCTGCCACCAGTACTCTAGCCGCCTCTTATACCTTGGGCGTGTTCAGCTTTCCATTGCTGTGCCTAAAACTCAGCGTTTCATGGTGGCTCATGCCTAAACGTACGCCTCTGCGAATATCTTCACCCCCCAGCACGCGCATTGTTCATCTTCCTTTCTTAACCTCGAATCAAAATCGGGCGTTCTAAATCGATTCGACGTTGCTTCAGACAGTGAAGCGCTTCTTTTTGATTTATCTTAAAATGCCTTCCTCCTTATTTTGTATTTACTCGGAGCAGTTTTTTTTTTCATCTGCAATCTTTTTCGCCTTTCGTACTTATCGCGTAACGCGCTTTGTTGCAGTATCACTCACAGCAGAATATTTACCCGTGAGCCTCTTAGTTCTTTTTCTCCAATGAGCATCAGCGCTCTTCGTATACAAATACGGGGACATCTCTGCACATCTACTCTCATTCATAATTCTTAGCCTCTCTTCGAACCTCACTTTTTCTGCCTTCCTCCCACCAAAGCTTGCCAATCCCATAGCGCCCTTTACAGCCTAATTTGTCGTCTTCCCGGGAGCGCCCAGCGGGAGGCGTCCCACAGTCCTTCGATTCATATTTATTCCTGATCGCATCTCTGACATCATGCAGACCACATTGAGTTCCCGGAACCTTTACACCTTTCCACAGACGTCGAAGCACCTCATACCTGTCGTATACACATAACGCTATGTGCTTCATTATTGCAGCGTTTCCCTTTCCCGCTGCTGCGGACATTTTTTTTTCTGTATCTCCAAGTACCTATCACCCTCACTTACCCATAATCCGGCGTAGTTGAATTCTCTTACCCTCAATATTTCTTAGCCCTGTATGGACACTGCCTGATCATTGACATTGTTGTTGTTATGTGGGGTTTAACGTCCCAAAACCACGATATGATTAGGAAAGATGCCGTAGTGGAGGGCTCCGGAAATTTTGATCACCTGGGGTTCTTTAACGTGCTCTAAAATCCGAGCACACAGGTTTACAGCATTTTCGCCTCCACCGGAAATGCAGCCATGGCAGCCGGGATTCGATCCCGCGACCTGCGGGTCAGCAGCCGAGCACCTTATAACCACTAGACCACCGCGGCGAGTCCGATCATTGGGATCGTTGATACCGTCATTCCCCAGTTTGTAACACTAAATCCTATAGTCCCAAGTTTTACCTTAACTTCCTCAGGTATCCGCCAGCCACTGCATGTAATCTCTACTGTCTGCAGATAATACAATATTGTCAGCATAATGTAATTCTGAAAGCTTGTGCCCAATCAGCACGCTGTCCTGTTTAGGTTATAGATTAAAACCAGTGTTGCTACCTTCTAGCGCATTTTCCACCTCACATTGTTATTCAAATGTAGAACGCCATTGGTCCACTACCCCGCGTGAGCCGTCCATATTTTATTGGTTGTGGGTATTTGCAGTGATTACACACTCACTTAGCAATAGCGTTGTCATGGCAGAGTGATCACGTGCAATAACTGCTACTGTGTAGAGACTATTGATAATGTCTTTGGTCACTTTCCCGAGTTTGAGCAATGATGTGGAGCAAATGTTCTACTCGTTGAAGCATGACTCCTTATTAAAAATTTTGAGAGACTGCATAAAGTAAGGAAATGACGAACACAGGTTCCAGAATGGTCGTGGTGTCTGCGTAGTGGTGTTCCTGCAGGTTAACTGCAGCTTAACTACATTGACAATGGCTCCATGGGGCCGTTGTCGATGTAGTTAAGCTCAATTCTGGTTGGGCGGGAGTGCTGTGTGTATAAGTGGGAAATTGGGTATATGTATTGGTTCCCGGGTGGCGCCTATTCTGAGTGAAGTGTGCCTAAGTAGGATTGATCCTGACCTGTAGGAGGGCTTAAGATGTGTAGCAATGCGTTATGTTTGCGATTTTCTTGCTTTTGTTGAAAAATAAGTCTCGTGTTTTCGAGAAGTAAATGTGCTGAACCTGTTTAAAGGAAATAGAGGCTGGGTTTGAAATTTACGTTTGAGGTCCCAAAAACTTGTATGCGGTTTTTTTATTTGAAAATCAAGATCGGACAGAAGCACCCATGTTATTGTATTCGCCTAGGTTGGTTAAGCCCTTTCTTGACTTTCAATCTTGTCCCTCTAAGCAAGTGAAGAATGATATCGCCACATCGTGCTTATAATCTGCTTCGCGCAAGTTGGCCCGCACCAAATGTCAGAACCAGCTCAACAGGCTTTGGCTATCAAACCTTCCAGAAGGAACTTTGGCCTCTCTTAGTAGAAGCTGATTCAATAACTCAAACAGGAAGGGGGTTGACAAGAGTATGACCAGTGACGAAAATACACCCATTATCTGCACTTCATATCTCCCTGCGTTCTTCCACCATATGAAAAAGCCGGGAAACTGAAGTTGGTGTTAAGATGATCTTTTCTTCGTGGGCTAGGTTGAGTCGCGTCTGCGCAGGGAAGTTGAGGTAAGGAAAAACATGGCCGCGTGCCTGCGTGCTTCACCGCAAATATCGTCGAAAGACGATAGCCGTCTGCCAGCCAAGTGGCCATTTTATGTTTTGCAGCATTGCCTCAGACAGCGCCTCCTCTATGTTGAATCGGCCGCATCTGGCTGGCATTGAAAAAAAAAAAAAAATAGAGGAGGTGCTACGTGAGACGCCACCTGGCAATGCCGTCGGGAAACATGAGCTTATGCAAAACTCAGGGCCACTGCCAGGTGGCATCATCGTATCGTCGGCAGAGTGCTTTTTCGTGCATAGCGTTATCAGCGCACCGTAAGAAACACTGGGGTTTTCAAAATTACGTATATATTTTCTTGCTAAGGAACACACCACCGAATACTTACGTATTGATGTTGCGCCTCAGATTTTGCGTAACACTATTTGATTTTTGATCGACAATCTGCACAAGTGTGAACGCAGGCACCAGTCGAAGATTGCTGGGCGTTCAGCAGCTGCTTAAACTTTGGCTGGTGACTGAATTAGAGCACTGCACGGGCCCGATTTTTCGGCCCGGGCCTGGGCGTGCATAACCGAACCCAGCCCAAGGCGGGCCCTTGCCCATGGTTCCAAGCCCGGGTTCGGCCCGGGTCTGGCGTTTATCACTAAACTAATTCTTGGGGCATGAGTATTTATGACCAGGACCGGCCCGGGCCCGCTAAAGGATATTTGTTCTTGATGATTATTGTTAATGATGTCTTGCTCTTTGTAGCGGGTGATCAGATGAAAAATTTGATGTATACATGCATCGAAATGTTGCTTTGACCGTAGTGGTAGCTCAGTGGTTAAGCTGCTCGCTGTTAGTAATGAGGACGCGGGTGTGATCACCACGGCCCCGGCGGCCGCATTTTGATGGGGGCAAAATGCAAGAATAGCCGTGTACTCATCTTTAGGTGCACTTTATAGAACTCCAGGTAGTGGAAATTTATCCAGTCCCCACTACGGCGTGCCTCGTAATGATACCGTCCTTATGACAAACAGATATATATATATATATATATATATATATATATATATATATATATATACAGGTGATATAATGAGAATACAGCAGCATACATAAACGCACCAGTATAGATATACACACTCAGTGTTAGCGTTATGATAACGTAATAGTATCGAGTGTAATCCGAAAAATATGGTAAAGGGGAAATTGCACGAAGGACGGTTTTTGTTTAATTCATTTTTCCTCTCGCGGAAGCTATGCTTGTACGTTTTTTGTGGCGAAGAAAAAAATAGAAGTTTAAATGTTCTATTTTTTTCTAAGCTTTTTATAAGAGCCAGCTCTTTGCACGTGTCACTTCTGCTTGGCACAGAATGCCGTAGGCCATGCAATGCATAACGTACGGGTGTGCTCGAAGGCCCGACTTAGAAGTGTGGCAGCTTGGGCTAGTTGGTATGGCATGACGACAGTTATAGCACGAGAACAAAACGACGGCACAGAGACAAGAAGGACATGAAAGACACGAGCACTAACTTCACACATCAAAACGACGACACAGAGACAAGAAGGACACGAAAGACACGAGCGCTAACTTCCAACATCAAGTTGGAGTTAGTGCTCGAGTGTTTCGTGTCCTTCTTGTCTCTGTGTCGTCGTTTTGTTCTCGCGCTATAACTGTCGTCGTGCCCGACTTAGGCCTTTTAATTATCGGGCCCCAGTCTGGCCTAGCCTGCATCCTCAAGCACGGCCCAGGCCCGTGCCCTCCAGCCCGAGCCCGGCCCACGCCAGCACTTTCAAGCCCGAGACCAGCCCGGGCCTGTCGGAAAATGCTTCCGACGGCCCGGCCAGGCCTGGGCTTCTGGGTAGACCCGGGCTCGTGCAGTGCTCGAGACGGAATCATGTGACAGACAGACAGACTTAAATTTCTGTGTTCAAGTATAAAAAAAAGGCTATCGTCTTTAAATGTGGAGTGATAATGTAGTTAACCACCAGGTCGGCTTCGTTGAATAGGGAACTAGAGCTGTGTATCTCGTTTCCTTGTCTTGCGGGAAGTGGTGTATCAGCCAAATCGGTAGGTGTTTCAATAGTCGTTTAATGGATCATTAGGCATCGTTGAATTGGTGCTTGAATTGTAGAGATTGCAAACATCACCCATTGCTGCGTGAATGAAAGGTGTTGTCTCGGCGTAAAGATAGGACAACGCGAGAAATAGTTGAAGCGTTTTTCATTCACAGGTATGGTGATACGTGTGTTGTCAGGACATCGGTTACATTGCACAAAGTAGAGATTGATTATACCTGCCAACCTCTAATCATTGACATGGTTTTCTTTCTTTTCTGTTCTTTATATTTGTGTTTTCTCCAATAAACTTTCAGTTGCTTGTCTGCATGTGCTTGTGCGTGTGTCTTGCTTGTCCCAATTTATTTCGCGTAGTTCGTAGTCACGAATTACTAATTCACCCAGCGATCGATCCTACTATATTTACTCCTCATTCTGCTCTCATGAGGTGGACGTAGTCGATATATATATAGGTATATATATATATATATATATATATATATATATATATATCTATATATATATATATATATATATATATATTATATATATACTATATATAGAATATATATATATATTATATATATATAATGGCTTTCCTATATTTTCTATTCTGTTGGTTATTGACCATTGCAAATTGCAAAACATTACTAGTCACATCTGAGCATATATCGGCTGGTAGCTGCTGCTTTTTGACGTCATGGGATGCCTTAGTCCCTGCATGCGTGTAACTGTGCACGCAACCAGTGAGCCGTGGTAGTGCTAGAATAAGGCGACGAAAAAAGAAAATCGCCATGGTCCTGGAGCAGCTTTTGTAAAATATATTGGCATTGCGCTTGCTCTGGACCGTGGCTGGCGCACGTTGAAACACCATTTTGCTTCGTTTTCTCGTGCATCCGAGTTGCCTTCCTTGCGGCAAAAAACTAGTCTTAGCGAACGGCTAGCACATATTTTAAACATGCGTATTTTTAGCACGTTTAGCAGTTATGAAGTTCTAAAGTTGACTTGAATATTGAATACCTTATCCAAGTTCTTCAAAAAAATAGTCTTTGGGTGAAGGTGCATCATTAATTTTCCAGTAGATGATAATCTAAGGTTTCTTAAATGCAACATAGTTTACTTCAATCTGTTAAGCTGTTTTGTAATTAGAAAATTTCTACGTTTGAAAACGCTAGCTCACTTTCAGCTTAAGTTTTCTTGCTAACAGCTGTTTGTGAATGAACTGCTACATTGCTGCTAACAATTCATGATGATCACTTATTGTTGGCTGACATCCAACTGCAGATGGAACAGGAATAGAGAACTTTGATGTGGAAGGATCATTAACAACAAACATTCATTCTTTTATGCGATAACCAAGACAGTGTGCCTCTTCAGTAAATTATTTCGCCCTATTGTGTGATATTAGGCGAATACGGGTTTATTTTAAAGGAGCGCAGTACGCATGAAAATAAATATTATGCATTATGCTTCATAGTTTCTATTGCAGGAGTGATAACACACGTTTAGTGGCGATAAAATTTCGCATACTTAATAGGCCGGCACTCATGTACGGGTGAAAAATGCGCCTGTGATTTGCGTGCATAAAGTTGTATGGAGTAAATGTTGAAGGGTCCCTAAACCACACCGAGTTCAAAGAGGAGGTAGTAATTTTTTTCTCGCCTTTCACGACTTTCCCCACAAGCACTATCTCTTCCCCGCCAACTATTCCTTCACAAAACACGTGGAATGCCAGCAGTAAGCGTAGACTCCAGTCAGGATTTTGCGCTTCTCGACTACCGGTGGCTGCCTGCACTTGCACAGTCGCAAATGCAGAAAACCAAGTGAAATCAGTTCATCACACGCAAGGCAAAATCTGACGTCACGTGAACAAACTACTGGCGTCGCAAATTGTGTTGCAAAGACGGGAAATGCAGGGAGAGAAAAAAAAGCCGTGGTTCCTCGTATTTTCAGAGGATGTTTAGGGGCCATTTAAGACGCCTTATTTCATGAGAACATGGAGCAAAGATTCTCATCACGAACACTCGTAAGTGGCATCCAGACACATTGTCGTTATCATGGCACAATTTCTGCTGTGTACGTACGTATCCAGCCGCTGTTTTCGTGGCACCGATGACCCTGTTAAGAGTTTCCACATCAGCGCTGGGTCCACTGAGGAACGATGTTCCGGAATCGACCACTGTAGGGCATCCACCGACGCAGAGCGTTGTACCTTGGACGTTGATGCTGTAATAGACAAAGAGAACGCACTGAAGATATTACTAAACAGAATTGGCCGCGTTACAGGAAAATACAATAAAATATATCTTTTGAAACAGCTTCACCCCTTGTATTCACTACGCTGACATATTTCATATAAGCTTTATTAGAGACACTGCTGGCCTTAAACTTGCCACTAGTGTCGAAGATCATCTGAGCAGACGGTGGTGCTACACTATATATAGGCCCTCAGTGATCTTGGTACAAGATTTTCTGGTGATAGACAGTAAGACAACTTTTGGTTTCAGTATCAAGAGAACCAATTCTATTCCCTGCAGGTGCCGTTGCTATTGAACATTAATATTTTAAAATAATGAAACTGCGTTAAGCTAAGAAAAGCTAGCACATACGGTATCACAGTACTATGGAGCAGCCACCACTATTTATTCCAGTAATGTTATTTAATTAATGATAACAAGTTTTTTAACTCAGAAATACTCTCTTATTAAAAATAATCAAGAAGAAATCTGTGGGCACATTTAATGGTCATGTATCTGTGCTATGTAGAACAAAGCGCTATATCTGAACAATGCCCGCCTAATATAAAAATACCATGTGGCCACGCTGCGACGAGCACCAGGAAGCGGTTATCTCAAACGGGCTCGCTGTAGGGTGACCAAAATCGAGGAATGAAAAAAAAAATGGGCCCGTATCTGCATGTTACACTGCAAATGTCGTCGAAAGACAATATTCTTGCGTCTGAAGGGAGTGAACAAAACGTTTATTTGATGTTCTGCGCAAGAAAATCGGTGAATGGTATTCTGGAGGCACTGCGTTAGAGTGTCTCGAGCGTGCAGCGGAGGCGAACGAGCGCCTCCAGTCACGTCACACGTGAGATATGAGTGCTACCTGGTAGTAGTAAGATTGTGCGGAATTTGTAAAACAAAAGAAAGTACTTTTCAAAAAAAAACTCTTAATAATATAGTTGCTACATAACAGTTGCTATAAAGTTTTAAGACTTTCAGTTTTATGAAAGACTGAAGTTTCTCTTAAAATTTTTGTCTTCCAAACACAGTTTTGAAGACGAACTCAGCTTCTTCCTTTCTGCATTGGCAGCTACGTTTCTGGTTAACTCCTCGTGGTGGTGAAAACTAGTTGTGTGGAGGTGAAAAGGTGAAACTACTGGCGTCGCAAATTGCGCCGCAAAGACAGGAAATGCCGGGAGAGAAAAAACGCCGTCGTTCCTCGTATTTTGAGAGGACGTTTAGGGGCCCTTTAAGACGCCTTATTTCATGAGAACATGGAGTAAATATTCTCAACACGAACACTCGTAATTGGCATCCAGACACATTGTCGTTATCATGGCACAGTTTCTGCTGTGTACGTACGTATCCAGCCGCTGTTTTCGTGGCACCGATGACCCTGTTGAGAGTTTCCACATCAGCGCTGGGTCCACTGAGGAACGACGTTCCAGAATCGACCACTGTAGGGCATCCACCGACGCAGAGCTTTGTACCTTTGACGTCGATGCTGTAATAGACAGAGAGAACGCACTGAAGAAATTACTTAACACAAACTACGTTACAGCAAAATACAATAAATAAATCTTTTGAAGGAGCTCCACCCCACGTATTTACTATATGCTCACATATTTCAGATAAGCTCTATTACAAACACTTCTGGCCTTAGACTTGCCATTACTTTCGAAGATCACCTGAGTAGACGGTGGTTTTACACTATATATAGGCCCTCAGTGATCTTGATTAATGATTGATTGATATGTGGGGTTTAAAGTCTCCAAACCACCATTAGATTATGAAAGATGCCGTAGTGGAGGTCTCCGGAAAATTTTGACCACCTGGGGTTCTTTAAAGTGCACCCAAATCTGAGCACACGGGCCTACAGCATTTTCCCCTCCATCGAAAATGCAGCCGCCGAACCCGAGATTCGATCCCGCGACCTGCGGGTCAGCAGCTGAGTACCTTAGCCACTAGACCACCGTGGCGGGGAAAATTTGCGCATGTTCTTTGCTTGTGGAGGCACGCTGTTAGAATGGACTTTTTGCGCGTATATAGTCTGTCCATGTGCGTAAGGCACTCTCCATGATTTTCGCTTGCCAAACCCAGACGACAAATGTGGACCCCCCCCTATCGTCAAAAAAAAAAAAAAGAAAACGCAAATGCAGGCCTCCGCGAATGCTTACTGGGGCGCAGTGGGTCATTCCGGAGGCGAAGGATCACCCCAGTTCTGATTTTGACGAGCTCACAGGTAGGTCCTGTTCGTATTAGAACAAGGCGATTACTGATAATTTATTGAGAGTTAAGTGATGTTCCCTTTGTGGATAGCGTGGATGATTGAATCTCACATTGCGTATATTGTCCTATTGAGAAAAATAGCTTGAGCCTGTGCAACAGAGTCAGAAGCCATCACATGTAACTCTACAGATATTCTTAAGCTCCTATGCACTGCCAAGGTTCAGTACACTAGTACAAATAATTCTCGTTAAATGAGCATTTTGAGTATAATATTTGTTTGGGTTAATAGTTTAGTGTGAAACATAAACTTGCGGTATCAAAATTCTGGTCGTGGGTTCCTGCAGCAAAGACAGATTGATAAAAACTATATGATTATGGAGTAATGGTACAGGTAACGTTTTATTTTTTTTCTGTAACGGTGATGCGTTACCTTTTTTTTTAGGTAATGCAGGTCGGTAACGCGTTCCTTTTTTGTTGAAGTATCGAGCAACTTATTCGGTTAATTTTCTTTGCTAACGTGTACAAAACTGTACTATACTATGCATGGCCATTGCTTGGCACATAATTTTCATTCCCATTCCTTGCTATGCTATATTGTAGGTCATTATGCTATGATTTACCCTCTAAACCTTCTACTTTTCTTCCTTCTCACTCCAACATTAGTCCCCTTTGCTATACTGTACAATGTATGGCTAAGATATGATAGAAGCTGCTTGGCACATACTCGCTTTCTGTGGCAACGAAGAAACAATACGACATATCATTTGTGACTGCTTAGAGTATAGTAAACAATGACTTAGCCTTCGCAAGGAATTAAGCAAATTAGAATATACACTTCTGTCGGAGGAAAAAATTTTACAATATCGACTAAATGCAACCTCACAGAAGAAGGCCCTGAAAGCGCTGACTGAACTTTTTGCAACTGAACGGTTGCAGCCAGAACGCCTTTCCTGCGTGCGTTTGTGTTTTCTCATGAGTACACGTGCAGTTTTTCACCCCCACTTTCTTCCCCCTATTTTCCCACGCCCAGTGCTGGGTAGCAAACCGGATGCCAATATCTGGTAACCTCCCTGCCTTCCTTTATCTCTCTCTCTCTCTCTCTGTGGCCCAATTTTGTGTGTGACCCACCCGGAGTCTTGCCAAGCTAAAACAGCTTCGCGGTTAAGTAACTGATACTCTCGCGATTGGATCAAGTGCTTGTCGGCGATCTGCCGTTTCTTATGCAGAAATATGATCTTTTATCGAGGCTACCGAGCTGACTTTTTATTTGAAGCTGGAAAATTTAATTGTTGTCGGATGTGAGCGTATCACGGTCGCCTGTAGCAACTGAAGTGTTGTTCTTCTAAGTACGTGCATGATGCTCCTATTTCCGACGTGAGTTTAAAAAACAGTAAGAAAAGAGCAATGCTCAATGGAATAGAAAAAAAAGAATAAGAATAAACAAGAAGGGAGTTCATCAGGGACGCACTCACCACGCGTCGTTTGTCCCCATGTTACCGCTAGGGCAAGGGCTCTTGACTTTTTAAACTACAACTGTCACCACAAAAGCCAATCGATCAATTTATTCCACGGCCAGCACAACCCTCCGACCCCTTTGCCGACGGGATGAGCCAGCCATGATATATGGATGGCAAATGTTTCGTACAAGTGGCACTGAAAACTCGTGGCACATATTGTTGGCGCTCGTTTTGGCCTTACGCTCTCTTAGAATTATCCAAGTCCAGAACGCTGTCTCTGGCTATGCGTGACGGGCTAGACAGTTACTTTCAATGAACTTATTTGAGGACGCCACTTCCTCATCCGGTTGCAGGCGTAGTCATGAAGTAGTTTCATAATTTTTTCCGGGCTTCATCATCAGCCAGATATAAATGACATGAATTAGTGTGTTCTTAAAAATGTCGCAGTTACAAATTACTTGAGCATGCCAATCAATGACTAATTATTATTTGTTAATTATGAGACACTTCACGTGTTTTGAAATTTATTATGATAAAATAATGAAATATAACGAATAAAAAGCTACCGGCGGGGAACTTCGGTGTACAAGGCACAATATGCCCAACGTCCTTGTCCACGTAGCGCAGCCTGTCCTTCTTTAAATCTCGGTCTTGGATAGCTAGGACATCCTATACATTAACGACCTAATGTTTATAGAGAACGTTGAAATTTTTACGTGCACAGAAATACATCGGCCCTCATCACGATCAGAACACACAAAATAAGCTCAAGGACACATCAGACGCTGATCGTGATGAGTATGTTCCAACTAGCCCAATTTGCTACAATACATCGGCCAGTGCATGTAAAGAGCAATCTTCTATTATGGCGTTGTGCGAGAGTTACCTTTTGTTGAAAATGTCCTTCGAGAGCTACGAAGTGCAAGAGTGACTGGAAAATCGCGTTGTGGCACAGCGGGGACTTGACCTATGGACTCATACTCTGCATCATCGGCCAAACATTGTGAAGCGAGTCAATTTAAGAGGACTCACTTGTCCATGACGACCTGCCAGTGAGCGGCCTGGCTGACGGGCACGTAGTGAATGGCACCCGTGTAGCGTTGCGCGTTGATGCCTCCAAAGTAGATCTCTCCGCCGTTTTGCTCACTGGGCTGCTTGCTCAGGTAAAGCGAGAAGACGGCCTGTCGAACAACGCCCTGTTTCACCATTGCGTCGAACAGCGGCAGCTGGTTGTTTTGCGAGATACTCGGGAAGGCGAGGCCGAAGATTCCGTCGTACTTTGCGTTCCTGAAAAGCTTGCCGTCCGAGTGGTCTATCTCAGCGAACTTGTACTGCTTCACGGAAGCTGGTCCGACTACCACGTTGTCGATGCTGGTGATACCTCGCACAACGCCGCCGCTGTAGCGAATCCGGATGTAGCGTCCGCTTTTGGTGAACGTGCTGGACTTGCTGCTGTCGTACTTGGCGTGGTCAACTGCGATTCCGTGAAGGTAAGAGACCGACGATAAAATTTCAGAAGGGCGCCAGAAATTAAATGTAACTCTGGGCGTGTGTTACTTACGGCAGGCCATACTCTGATCGCATTCAATCGACGGCGTCCAGAAGTTACTGGAGCTGGTGTCCATTAGAAGCTTGAAGGATTGTGGTGGGGTGCCAATTTTGATGATTCCGTAAAACTGCATCTGTGCGAGACAAAAAAAAAAATGGACGACGGGAAGTGCACACAACGTGTAAATGTAGGGCCAGCTGTATTGTTCGCAATTATTGGCATTGAGCTGTAATAACTTAGATAATTTGAATATCAGTTGGGACCTAATAATTAGTGACAGAAGTTGCACCCAAATCTGAGCACACGGACCTACAACTTTCCCGCCTCCATAGAAAATGCAGCCGCCGACGCCGGGATTCAATCCCGCGACCTGCTGATCAGCACCCGAGTACCTTAGCCACTAGACCACCGCGGCGGGGCATTGTATCCAACTTTAAAGGGACACTAAAATCAAATAACAATTTATGTCACACTGAAAGCTCATGTATGACAACATCTAAAACGACAATATTATCAACAGCAGTGCCCTACTTACCGAGAAATTAAGGTAAATGCACAAGAATACATGCGCCACAATAGGACATTCTCAAAATGATACCGATGACGTCAGACGAACTGCCTACAAATAATCACTAGTAATCGATCTAGCTGCACTGAATAAAAAAAACCCTGTGTGCATCAAGAGGCGCAATGAAATGCTGCTTGTTCGTTTCTGTTTGATTCATCAAAAAAAGAACCGCCGGACGTCACTATGGAGAATGGCGTGAGTGGTTGCAAAATTCAATTTTCGTGTAGAAAAACTGGTGCCCCAGGACAGGTCGTGCCATCTAGTGGAGTGCAGTTGAACCGAAACATGTCTGCAATCTCGGAGCCAATGATAGGAAATTTATCAATGGCCGTTGTTGCTGCTGTGGCTCCCACTGCGTTCAGTTCTGTCTACTAATGTCGGTGACCGCGCAATGAAGTCGGACAACGTTGTGCATGGCAACAGTGACGTGAGTCAGTCCGCTTCTTGAGGAGGGTAATTTGAAGTGCGCTAACCCATTGCGGACCACTAAATCATGATCTTATTTCAAAATAAGCTCCTACTTGGCAATAAAGTAACACTACGAGGTTTCTGGACTGCTATTTCAATAATCAACGTAGACTTAATAGTTGTCTTTGGTGTCCCTTAAGTATTCGGAAGTTCATTCAACGAGTGACTTATCATGGAACGTAACCATTGACCTTATCACTAGCAGCGCTTATAAGACACTTGGATTCATCAGACGTAACCTACATTTCACCAATTATACTACTAAACTTCTAGCTTCATTTAGTCCGCTCTAAACTTCACTATGCTTCCCAAATAAAAAGCCCCCCTGGCTTATTTTATAAATAAAATATTCTCTTCAAAACGGAAGTGCCAGTTTCATAATAAAGAATCACTCTCCAACTTCTAGCATAGGTAAAATAAAACAGTCTTTGAAAGTATACTGTCTTTGCAGTCCCGCAGGCTGTTCTCATTTCTGTCTCTCTTTCACAATCTCTATCATAACGATACGCGACTGTCTGCACTTTTTAAACCTGCCCATCAAATATTCGGTCATCTGGATTACGAATTCAAATTAGAACTTTTATTCGCCCGAACAAACCTGTTTTAGTATTCATCATTACTTCCTGATGTTAATCATCGGAATCAACTGCATAACGATACTGTTTGTGTAAATAACCACGAAGAATTCACTCACAAATTAAAGCGACATATTGGTGTTTGAGTGAATTCGTAAAGTGCCTTAGATGCGCATGTGCTTAAATAGTGCTTTATTGAGCCCGTGGTATAACTCAACATTTGACTTCTCTTCAGGAGAGAAATATCCAGCCTCGTTCATTCTTCTGTTACGTTTACTTTTTAGTGCATTTTGTCCTTGTAATTACTTTTATCTGATTTTCATTATTGACACGATCTATTTGTTTTTATCAAATTTGTTTAAGTTTGTTGTTATTGATAGTTTTATGTCTGTATGCTGATATTCCCTCGCCCCTATGAATTTCCCTCAGGTCTTGAAGGTACATAAATAAATAAAAAATAGATAATACCACATTCTTCCTATTTTTTGTCTTACATTGTTGTAATTGGTGAGTATTATCGGGATGGGATCACCAAGAGCCCGTCCACGAATTTCGGTCACATTTGGGTCGTGCCATCCCAGTTGGAGACTGAAAAAAATAAAGAAAAAGGAAACATGAAATGTAAGACAAAATGTAAGACAAAAAATGTAAGACAAAAAAATCCGTCCAGCTTGAGGACGGGGTTTGGTTCCCGGCCTTTGCAGTGGCATTTTGATGGGAGTGAAAAGCAACAAAGCTTGAATTTAGACGCACGATAAAGAACAACAGGGAGCCGAAGAGTATCCGAAATTGCTCACTACAGCTTGGCTCACGATAGCATCGTGGTTTGCAACAGGCATCTGTACGTTATGACCGATAATATACCACAAAGAGTTTTGATTACCAGTAGGACCCACTTTTCATTAAACGCTGAGTGATGGGTGCAAGTTTTACTTTAATGTTACCCAAATCGCATCTCGCAGCATAACCATGTCTTTTTTTTTAACCATCGTTTTCTTATGTCACGTTATGCCTCTTCCGAGAATAGCGCACTGTTAATAACTGATGGATGCGATGCGAATCTGAAGGCTACAGAAAAGCCAAGTAGCCAAGCTGGCTGATCCCCAAATTTTCGGATACGCTGAAGCCTCTGTATGATGGTATGTTTCATGATTTTCTTAAACTACGTCACTGTAACTAGCAATATAATCAATTTTTGCCTGTCTCCAACTTCTAGCATAACTAAAAAATGAAATAAATACGTTACGAAGTGGTAACAATGACCTGGAGATTTCGCTTTAACGAGAATATCTGCAATAAATCTCCGTAAACAGCGCAGGCCTAAAATTCATCCGGTATTTTCTTAGATTTGTTTCAATTGGTGCTTTGACACTATAGGCGTGTAAAAAAGCCAATTAGTATACTAAGTACAACGGAACAGCTGCACCTCTCTTAACAACGGAAGCGATGCGAGTGTCATCGTGACACTCTTCTTTCCACTATTTTTAGAACTAAAGGTATATGCATGCGAACAATGGTAAGTTCATTCTATCACCGATTAGTTCAAGCTAACTTACGCGAACTCGGCACTAGAGCCGACGATCAGAGTGAAAACCAGCAAAACCGTGGTCTGGAGCTCCATGTTGGTGACTTGTCTTGTGACGACCTGCCATAAGAAACAGCCGTAACTGTTCTGAGCTTCGAGTCTCTCCGATATGAAGTACGTTTCTTATCGGCATCTGCAACACAAGCGTCTACAGCGGCGGCACTGGTGAGTCGCATAGGTGACCGCATTTGGGCATCTTCTCAACTTACGCACTCACCACCTAAGGTGTTTTTGACGTCTTCTGACCCGTATCTTTTCAGTCTCCCAGTCATCTTCGCGTTACCTTCAAGGAAAAACAACCAGCCATCGTCGTCCCAACGTACATGAAACAAGCACCTCAATGGAAAACTTAAATATAGCGGAGATTATTGTATACGCATACAGGTAAAAAACCTTAAAGCTATAGTTTAAATTTTTTATCGTTATTTTCAATATGTATGAACTTTGTCCAGCGACAATTCTAATTGTTTACGTGTACAAAAGAATATATGAACACATGCACGCGCGCACCCACACAAACACACACGCACGCACACACGAACAAACACACACAAAGAAACACACGCAAACACACAATTATGTCGCGTTCTTCGGTCGGCGAACTCACTCATAAGTCGACTCAGACTCACTCAGAGTCAGATGGAGCCGCGAGTCTGTGTATGTGTGAGTCCGGGTAAGTAATATTTTAATGAGCGTGAGTCTGAGTCGGAGTCCGGTTGAAGATATTTTTTGTGAGTGTAAATCCGAGTGAGTCCAAAGCACGAAATATATTTGCTGAGTGAGTCTCATTGAGCTTCACTTCTTTTTGCCCACTCATTGTCATATCTACTCATCTTGAGGATAACTGTCAGCCTTACCTGGGTTCACGTTTATGAACTTGTCTACTTACAGGTATTCTAAAGCAGTGTATTCCATACACCATTTCAATATTTATTGATCAGAGGTGCAAATTACATAAGAGAGACCCTTGACCCTCCTTTCCCTGCCAAGTCTTCCAAAGCATTTTTTATAAATATATTTTATGTTGCCATCTATTTCAAGAAAACTGACTTTACTAGTTTACTTATTCAAACGTACTATATCAAAAGGTGCCAAGAAGAGCACCGCACCGATTACATGATATATTAGTGTTATAGAGCATTGAACTCATGGTTGAAAAACATAATTCTAGGCTAGTGGACTCATGAGTCGACTCTCTCGGAGTCATTCAGTCATATGAAGGCGTGAGTCTGAGTCTGAGCGAACCCGGGTGACTGATACTTTGGTGAGTGTGAGGCCGATTGAGTCCATAGCGCACTGGCATATTCCATAAGTGAATCTGAGTGAGCTCCACATGTTTTGCTGACCTCACGCAAGGCCCGGTCACAGAGAGCTGGTGGGCACTTATTTCGCTCTGGCTTGGCTTTACCCTCTCACCACCCTCTTTTCCAATCCACGCTACACCATGCTATGCTATGCTATGCTATGCTATGCTATGCTATGCTATGCTATGCTATGCTATGCTATGCTATAGACGATTTTGCGCTGCCCCGCCGCGGTGGTCTAGTGGCTAAGGTACTCGGCTGCTGATCCGCAGGGCGCGGGTTCGAATCCCGGCTGCGGCGGCTGCTTTTCCGATGGAGGCGGAAATGTTGTAGGCCCGTGTCAGATTTGGGTGCACGTTAAAGAACCCCAGGTGGTATAAATTTCTGAAGCCCTCCACTACGGCGTCTCTCATAATCATATAGTGGTTTTGGGACGTTAAACCCCACATATCAATCAATCAGTAGACGATTTTGCGCAGCGGCACGTGCGCGCTCGCATGTTTAATGACGTTACCATGAACCGGCCTTCTCCCAGCCAGTTGCCGAAGCGAATGAATTGCAAGCAAAGCGGCCATGGTCGTATGCGCCTGTAGCCGGTTTAGAAGCCATCATGGCAGCACCCGTGCGGACGTGACCACCCGCTCCGATCGCAACTAACACTTGCTACTCGCCCGCTGTTGTCACAGCGATAAGTAAGTAGTAAAATAAGCTACCGCTTTGTGTCATCGCACACTGGGGACAAGACATCAAGTATGTACTCTCTTTATTAAAAACATTAGCTGTGTTTATTTAGCCATGCCTGCTGTGCCTTGTCTCCGAAAATTTGATAAATAATCTAGAAAACACTACAAATTGTTGATGAATGCATTGCTTTCGAAGCTCCAGGACGTAAATACAAAGCAAATAAACACGTTCGTTGTGAACTTATGGGCGACACAGCGCAGGACGATGACATGATAAGATCGAGGCGAAAGGAAACTGCACACATAGGTGCCGCCACGTTGACTTGCCCTACCGTGGCCATCTTTCTGCCGTGGCATTCTACAGCACTGCTGAGCATCCGCGTCGCGTCGTCTGCTCGGCGTTCACATAGCGTCCGCTTCGCTTTTACTCGCTGCACGCAGGTGCTACGGGGACGATGAGCAAACGACACGAAGTGCTTCTTGAACAGTGCTGCAGAAGGCCACGGCAGAAAAACGGCTATGGTAGGGAGACGTCCACGACAGTGTGGCGCCATCTAGATTTGAATGAGAGAGCCGGGTGCGAAAAATCGCCCATACATGGTTATCCTTTCTCTTTCCTATAGTGTGTATGTGCCAAAGAAATTGGGCGAATCCCACTACTTCCACATTCGTCCATCTAAACTAAAAGAAGCACATGGGCGATAAACACCGATTAGGGGTCGCGCGTTTCACCATTTTTTTCTTAATGGTATGTATCGAGTGCTTTGGTGGTGACTGTGCGTGGACCGGTTTACGATGATGTATATTGATTGATATGTGGGGTTTCACGTCTCAAAACCACCATATGCTTGTGAGAAATGCCGTAGTGGAGGGCTCCGGAAAATTTGACTACCTGGGGATCTTTAACGTGCGTCTAAATCTAAGCACACGGGCCTACAGCATTTTCGCCTGCATTGCAAATGCAGCCGCCGCAGCCGGGATTCGATCCCGCGACCTGCCAGTATTAAATGACTTTTTTGCATTAAAATATTTAGTGCCTTAAAATGGCGGTGTATTATTTGACAAATTTACAGGCAGTTTTTCAGAGAACTGTCTGTAAATTACTGTCTGTGAAAGTGTTAAAAAGGAGGGATTTCTGCTCTGTCAAAAGTCTTCTGTAGTTCAGTGCAAGGGATGAGAGCATACTTACATCCGGGTATACATATTTCAGAGGAGTAGCTCAGAAGTCGAGTTTCGCGACATGACCCGTCCACGCTGTGTTTTTTAGAGGCGACGTGAGGCCAGCCAGTGGCGCGGTCCTGTAATCTTGTTTCCGACACGTGCCGCGCTGCTCAGCGCGACACGTCTGAGCAGCGCGTGTCAGAACGCACACGTTTTGCTTGCCCGAAGAAGACTACACTCTGCTGTGATGACAAAACCGAACACACGCACACGCACGCACACACGCACACGCACACGCACACACACGCACACGCACACAGCCCCGCCGCGGTGGTCTAGTGGCTAAGGTACTCGGCTGCTGACCCGCACGTCGCGGGTTCGTATCCCGGCTGCGGCGGCTGCATTTCCGATGGAGGTGGAAATGTTGTAGGCCCGTGTACTCAGATTTGGGTGCACGTTAAAGAACCCCAGGTGGTCGAAATTTCTGGAGCCCTCCACTACGGCGTCTCTCACAATCATATGGTGGTTTTGGGACGTGAAACCCCACATATCAATCACACACACACACACACTTATATATATATATATATATATATATATATATTAGGGAAAGAAGTTTATACTTAAAGGCTCATTTTTCGTGTTTTGACATTGACACAATAAAATGAGATCTAACAGACAATAATGCCAAGAAATGTATTGGGGAAGTTATTCGACCGACTTTTAATGTAAATATGAAGAAATAGGTGCGTAAAAAGATAACTTGCCATATATATATATATATATATATATATATATATATATGGGAAAGAAGTGTATACCTAAGGACTCGTTTTTCTGTGTTTGGACACAATATAATTCAGAATTATTCTTTATTCAGAATTGAAATACAAGTGCATGTGTTATGTACAAATAAAGAAGGAGGTCTCAAAGTCGTGAGACTGTGAGTGAGACCTCCTATAAAATCATACATGAAGATACAACGTAATAGTAAAGAGTGGTAAGGAAAGAAAACTGAAGGTATACAAAATGCACAGATAAGCATAAAATAGCGAACGTAAGTTATAAAAAATGTAAAGCTAAGCATGCAAAAACTAACACGAAAATGCAATAACATTCACTCTGTATAATATCAAGCAGTATTACGGTAAGGATAGAAAAATTAAGATATACAAATTGTACAGATAAACACGAAATAGCGAACTAAGTTATACAAGGTGTACCGATGAGCACAAAAAACTAACAGAAAAATGCAATAACATTCAGTTCATATAAGATCATGCATTAAGAATTTATTAGGTGCAAACGCAAGCCTTTTTTAAACATTTCGAGGGATCTAATTTTGATCTCCAAAGGTAAAGAATTCCACAGGGAAATAGAAGAAAATTTTGTGGTAAACTTGCCATAATTAGTCCTAGGTTTGGGTAAAAGGAAGTTATTAGCCTTTGCAAAACGAGTCGATGACGACTGAGGAAACTGACTTGAGTGTAGTAAAGGAATCGGAAGTTTTCCCATTCACGTATTTGTAAATAAGAATGCCGAGAAAATATTTTGTCAGCTTCTGAACTGATAAAATTTCATGCGAACAGAGTAAGGATGATGCATTGGACATGAAGCCACTGAACGTTATTATTCTCAATGCTTGGTTTTGAAGATGTTGGATGGCTGATAAATGAGTGGCATACGTATTTCCCCATGATGAAATGCAATAGATTATGTTGCTGTGAAAGAAAGCATAGTAAAGTGACAACAATATTTCAAAACGAAAGAACGGGCGAACTTTTAGCAATATTCGAATGGCATATGCGGCTTTCCGCGTAAGCGCTAAAACATGCGAATTAAACTTTAAATGTGCATCTAATTTGACCCCGAGAAACATTGTACTAGAGGTAGAATGAATTTGAGTATCGCTTACCAAGACAGAGGGGTTCCCAGGTATAATTCGATTAGGTGACGAAAATACAACGAAGTTTGAC